GCAGGGCGGGGCGGGGCGGGATGCAGGGCGGGGCGGGGCGGCCAGCACTCACAGCGACGCCTTTGATCGGGAAAGAAAGAAAGCAATCAAATTTATCAAGGAGCGGGAGGGTGGGGCGGAACAGCCCACGCCCAGGAAAGTCCTCGGCGAAACGCCCGGTCGGTCGGCATTAGCGAGTGGCAAGGGGAATTCCGGGGAAAGGGCGCGGCGAAGTAGATGCAACTTGCAGCTCTCCTACTTAGAGTAGAGCGCCCTGGACACTGTCCAGGTCACCTGGCTGACGCCTGCGGCCGACGCCTGGCCGCCTGTCATCTTCGTCACGTCGCCGTTCGATGCGCACTTCCTGCGCCCTGCCCTGATTAGTCTCAAATGAGCGCGTCGGTCCGGTCGGCGAGGGCCCCGGCCACCTCCAGGCTCTTGTTCTTGTTCTTCTTGTTGCTGCGGTGATGATGATGCTGAGATGAGGTCCGGTCCGACGGTCAGCCCCTTCCCGCAGGGAGCCCTCTACCACCGCCCCGCCCGCCCCACCACGCCTCCGGCCAGGACTCCGGCGGCTCGATGGGCCCCTGCCCCGCCTCACCCCGCCCCGCCCCGCAACGTCGAGTAGTGGCATCACGCCGGGCAGACTCCGGCAGCACGCCCTTCCCTCCCCTCCCCGCCAGACACCTTTCCTGCGCCCCGGCAGCCCCGGCAGCCCCGGCCCCCTCACCGGCGGCATGCGATGCGTGCCCGGTCCGCCGGGGCGGCCGGGGGTCCTGGGGGACGGGGAGAGGGCTGGCGGGGGCACCGAGAAGCGTGGGAACGCGACGGGAAGGAACCTCGGCGCGCCTCGCCTCGAGCGGGCTGCCTGCCTGGCTGGCTGCCTGGCTTGCTGCCTGGCTTGCTGCCGGCCGGTAGATGGAGTGGCTCCGGCCGGCTTCTTGGCGTCGGCGCACGAACGGGTTGGAGGGGGAGAGGGGTCTGCCGGCACGGCGCGGGCGTGGCGGCCGTCTCGACGGCACGCTCGCGTCCAGCCCGCGGCGTGGGGGCCACCGGGGGGACGTGGACATGATTGGGGCGTCGCTGTCCTGTACGGCACACCACGGCACGCCACGGCACGCCCCACGCCTCGTGATGCCGGTGTGTGATACATCCAAGTGCCTGTCCACGCCAGGACGTGCCGCCAGGCGGGGAGTGGCGGCGCGGCGCGTCTAGGTGAACGTGTGGGTGAAGCCCCTGTGGCCCGCGCATACGAATGCCAGTGTATTTCAGAACACGTGTTTCTTTACCGACGAGTGGGACACGCTGGAATGCCTGATGGCGTCGGATGGCGTTGACAAAACCTTCGCCGCCCGGTCCGACGAAAAATATGGAAATGCCCAGGGTTGGTTTCGGCAGCTTGACGGCGCGTCCGGCGACGGCCAGGTCATGGATGGCCCTGGCTCCGCAGTCATCAGCATTATTGGGCCCGTGGTCGAAATTTGGTCGCGGCGGCACGGACTTGGCGCACCTCCCCCTCCCACCCCTGGCCACGCGTCGCGGCACGCTGCGCCGCGGGCGGCGCATGCCTCCGCATGCCGGCACACATGGCGCGGCGCCGACGCAGCGCGCGTTCCCACGGTGGGGTGGGGGCCGCGGCGCGTCGCGGCACGTCGCAGCTGGCGATGCGCGACTGCCGCCCAACTAGCCCCGCGACTTGGACCGCCGGCCGGCAGGGCGGGGCTGGCGGCACGGCGTCGCGGCCCATGGTCTAGTGCACACGCGCCGCGCTGGTATGCGCGCCGAGGTGGCACGCCGTCATGGGAGAGCGCGCGCCCCGCCAGCCCCGCCGGCGTCGTGTCGTGCCGCCGCGCTCGCGTGCCCCCGCGCGATGTGAAGCGATGCGGCAGCACCTGGCGCCGCGGCCGGCGGCCTGCCAGCCCCGTCTGCCCGGCCGCGGACACGGAGGCCGCCCCGCCTGCAGCCAGCCAGCCGCACGCGCACAGCCCGGCCTCCCGTGCGAAACCTCGATAAGCCGAAAAGGGTGCGGCCCCAACAGCGCACCCACCCACGCACGCGCCAAAACCCGACCCGCGCGGCTTCGAGTCCACCGCGCAGACAAATGGACCCGCGTACGAGGCTCTCGTCATTTCAACACAGCAAGCTTGGCAAGCACGGCAAGTACGCACTGCGGTCATCTCCGCCAGCTTCCACCGGTTTCCAGAAGAAGCTTGTTGGCGGCCAAGGCCAGTCGGTGCGATGGTGATTCACGCTGTCGCGGCTGTCGCGTGTGTTTTCACGAGGGCGGTCACGGCGGCCACGGTGCCCCGCCGCCACAAGCCAGATGATATCGCGGCGCGGCGGGGCGGGGCGGCGGCCGGTCTTCATGGGAAGTGGTCCCGCGGCCGTGTGCCTCCGCTAACAGGTGTCTTCATGTCACGGTCGGTGATCGCAGTGGCGAGGCAGAGCGCGCGGGGCGCGGACCAGCGGGGCAATCCGCCGCGCCTTCCTGCACACCTATTTCATTTTTTCCGGGACCATTATACGCCCCAGTCGATCGTGCCGCCGTTCGCTCCCCCATTTCGCCTTTCAAGAAAAAGATTCCCCATTTCGTATCATTATGTGTATGCTTTTTATGGCCGCCCCGCCTCCGCGGCGGGCCCAGCGGGCTGGTGGTGGCGGTGCGGTACCTGTGCGGCGGTACCGCCGTCGGGGCCGCGCCCAGGGGCCGCGCTGCCGCGTGACAGGCTGCGCTAGGTTCCCACACTGCGGCCCCACCTGCTCCCCGGCCAGGCCACCCCAACAGGTCCATTGTGATGGTCACTGGGCAGGAAGTGCATTTCGGCTGGCCCCGGGGCTGGCCCCCGATATGGAAGTCATCTCGGTGGGGCGCGGCCGACGCGGCGCGTTGTGCCCCTATCGAGAAAAAGGAGGAACGGCAGCGAGACGTGACCGGAAACCTGGATGGGAGTGTGACTCCCGCCGCCGCTGCAGCGCGCTGAGGCTCTGGAATTCGTTTGGAGGCTGCTACCGGTATTGATGATGGTAATGACGGGGAAGAGGCGAGCAGCGAGCATCGCGCAGCACCGCGCAGCACCGCACAGCACCGCACAGCACCCAGGAGCGAGCGGGGTCCGCCCGGCCCGTCCGGGGCGCATTCCGTCTGAAAAGTGTTCAACTGGGCTCAAAATGACTGCAGCCTCCCTAACCACACGTCGGCGTGCTCCACGCTGCGTGCCCGGGGCGTGCCATAACTACGCATGCCAGGCCTTTTGCTGTTATTGACTGCCGACTCGTCGCTGCGTCGGTTGGATCATATCCTGCACAATTTACTTTGGGCCCAAGTAGTGGTCTATTGGGGAGCATTGGACTGCTGCCCGCTGCCCCGTCCTACCACGCGGAAAATGTGTCAATTCACAAGAAACAAGAATCCCCAGGATGTCCACAGGAACTTGCCTACAGGCCGAAAAAAGTTGGCTAGTTTCGTTGTTTCCATAGCGGCCTTCTCGCCCTCCTTGTATCTCGAGAAGCACTTGATTGACTTTGGCGCCAAAAATACTTCGCGCCGGTTTTACCGCGGTGGGCTGCCGTTCTAATAGCCTGTCGAATGACGCGCTGCGCCGTGACTGCGCCAAAGTGACCGGCAGACGACGCGGCGCAGTTAAAGTGCCTGGGGTCGTTTGGCTAATCCGCGGGCAGTTCGCCCCGCGCCCCGGCGGGCCCGGCGGCCGGGGGGGCCACACAGTCTGGCCACTATCGGCCCGCTCGCGTGGCCGGCGCGGCAGCGCGCCCCAGGGACACGTCAACAAACACGCATCAACTCGATGCCTCTGCGAAGGGCTCTGAAATACGCGCCTGAGGGTGACTTGGTGCAGTAACGAGCGATGAGGCATGCCGAGCCACCTAAAAAATTATCGACCACTATCACTGTTTTTAGAGTACAAATTCGATTGTGAAATCAAGCAAATTGACTTTGGTTGCAACTCGGGGCCTTCAAGTTACAGGTGGTGCCCACATTCGAAGACAGCTCGTCATTATCGTGCGAAGCCTCTTCTAGTCACGTCCCGCCGCTCTCCGTTTTCTCACTAACGCTATCGAACAACAACTTCTAAATCGTACTGCTTATCGAGTTCCCCCGAAAACGCCCCATTTGATCCGGCGGGGATCAGACATCGCTATCGTCGCGCTGCCGTCCTTCACTTTCCACTCGATAATGCGGAAAAGGGACGAAGCGACGAGGCCAGGGCCTCTCTGATTGCGCCTTATCAAAGGGAAGAAGTTTCCTGGTCTAGCCTAATCCAACCACTACCCTCCCATTAATGAGGCAAGCTGAAATTTTGGCGCTGGCTCCGTTCAGTCAGTAGTAGAGCCGCTTAAAGTAAGACTGAAATGACCGGTGATCTATCGTCCTGTCCCCCACTTCGTTTCATGTTTTCGATTCATCGTCCAGATCGAAACCCAAACCGCGACGCCTCTGCTCTCCTTCCTCAAAATCTTTGACTTGCTTTTCTGCCGGCGTTTTTCCGCGCACAATGCTTCAAAGTTTTTCTGGCTGCGTTTTTGAAGAAGCGCGCCCTCGTGCAACAACAAGCGCGCCCATTTGACCACAAGCTTCCCCCATCCGCCGACGGAGCGCGCCTCTGCGCCGACTGCACCGCCTCGGCGACGCTGGCGCTGCGTGGCGCGCGGCAGAAGCGTGAACTGCAGGGAGCACGCGCTCGGCCCGCGCTCTTTGAAACGCACGTGCTCTCGCGCCGGCGGCCATGCTGGGCGACCGCAGCGCTGGCACCCCTCGTGAAGAGTGCGGCGATCGAGTCAACTATCTGTGCAGGTCTCTGCAGGTTTGGACAAGTTCCGTGAAGTGTGGGTGCGCAGGTGTTTCGATTTCCTCATTCAAATTTCTTTTTGAAGTGTGTGTATTTTGTGTTCCTGCCTTTTTTGGGTGTTTATCTTTTCTCCAGGCATTTCTTTCTTTCATTATTTCATTTTCGTTGGTTTCAGAACGGGTTTTTAGGGGTGCTGTTGGAATGATATAACTAGGATAAGGTTCAATTGATTTTTAATTAAAAAATTGAGAAACGATTCATCAACATACAGTCACTGGTGAGGGCACTTGGAATTTGTGCAACTCATAAAGCTTTGTACCATCACAGTTTCAAAATTAAACTACTCAATATCACATGAATCAATGCGATTCACAAACAAATTGAGCGAATGAAACTCAGTTCATAAAATGTACATGTTACCGACACTTGTGCGATCTGCGCGGGCTACACATACTTCACAACAAGTACATCAGTCACAAAAGAATTAACGCTCCTTACAGTAAAGCTCCATATCACTTCAAAGGACGGAAATTTTTAAATTCTAAAAACTGCGTCCTTCAATCCGTCTTACTTAACTATGAGATCACAAAAGGCTGCTGATTTCATAACTTCACAACAAAATCCTAAACTCTCAACATCGATAAAACTTCGCAAAACGTAGCGGTCCCGGAAATTATTTTTATGGCAATACAACGCGGATCCACTACTATAAAACGAAAGACCTAATCCATCTAATTAAAGCTTAAAACCAATTGTCAATTATTTATCAGATATAATCCGATTTAAAACAGTAAAAAATTCTCAAACTGATACAGTTTAAACAAAAGCGAGTAACTTTCGTCACACGAAAGTCGACACTCACGGCACATTTCCACTCGTTTCACGACGGCCGCGACCGAACACAACTTGAGCAACAAATTAAATCACTGGGCTAATCACTTCACTGGTTAGCAGGCGCAGGGCGTGCAGTTGGCGATCGGGCAGGCGCTGGCGAAGGTGGAGTAGGGCTCGTAGGCCTCGAAGGCGGGGGTGGCCTGGACTTCGGGGAGCTGGTGCTCGGTGATGTAGGGCGTGTTGTCGCTGCAGCACAGGTCGCTGTCGGCGCTCATCGGGGTCCAGCAGAAGCCGTCGACGGCCTCCTGGTCAATGACGAAGTGCACGGGGATCACCTGGGGCTGGCCGGGCACGATGGGGATCTCGACGACCTGGCCGCCGACCCACACTTGGATGGAGGCGCCCTTGGGGTGCGCGAGGTCGTCCAGGAGGCGGGCCTCGAGGGCCTCGTTGGCGGCGTTGTCGGCGTCCGCGTCCTGGCAGGAGTCCTGGGCCCAGCAGCAAGGCGCGGTCTCCTTCTGGTAGTAGGTCTTTTCGGAGCGGCCACGAACCAGGGAAAGGACTGGCTTGAGCATCTGCACAAAACAAGAAAGCGAGTACGTTAGTCTCGAGGTCTTCGCGGGCAAGGCGTTCAAGTCGCCAGGGAAACACAAGTTCAGAGCAGAGTGCGCACTGGAGGCGACACGTACCTTTTTCAGCTTGTGGATTTTGCGGTCCAGGGCGGATCGGCGCTGCTGCCGCTTGGCGGAGGAGGCGAGGAAGCTGCGGTAGCAGTTGCTGATGTTCTCGTTGTGGCACATGGTATCCATGACGGCGGACATGTCGAGCACTGAGAGTGAAGCAAGGCGAAGAGCGAGCGAGGTGCTGGCAAGAGCGAGCGAGGAGCGACGTGGAGTGAGCGTCGGAGAGGTCGTCTACAGACTGTGCCGGTTCCACGTCGGGCAACGCTTTTATAGTTTCTCGTGACGTCACGGCCACGCCGAGCGGCCGGAGCGCGGCGCGAGGGAGGCTGCAGGCGGTGGTGGGGGCCGACGCCGGGCGACGCCGGTCCTTCGGCAGGGCTCGGCCGCCGCTTCGGGCGGGCCTCGGTCGGGCTTCGGGACTCGGCTCGTGGCAGGTGTGCGCTGCACCAGGCGCGGGGGTGAGGCGGGGGAGGAGGCGGGCAGGTTGGGGGTGGAGGGGTGCTGCAGCCGGGCGAGCAGGCATGGAGCAGGCGAGCCTCGAATCGTGGGAACACCGAACAGCGAGCCTTTCCCACACCGAAAACGGCAGATGGTAAGTGTGAGTCCTCCGGGGGTGGGGGTGGGGGCAGTGGAGGGTGCATGCAAGTGTGTGAGGGTCCTCTCGGGGGCGGGGGAGGGGGTGGGGGAGGCCTTCTGTATCGCACACTGGTTTCTCTGCTTCTCTTGCTCTCTCCTTCGCTCCCTTTTTTGTCGTATGGGATCATCTCTCCGTGCCCCGCACCTTCGCCATGCTTCGCGCTGCCCCCTTTGCAGGCAACGCACACACACACTCACACACACGTGGCGACACACGTGGCCAGCACGCTGAGGAATCTTGGGCGGTGGGGTGGGGACGGGTGAGGCAAGTACGTGCAGTGACATAGGCCACGCCAAGAGCGGCCGCCCTGGGGCCCAATGCGAGGCCTCGGGGCCATAGGGCGCCACCACGTGGCCCCTCCCGTCCCGTGGCCCTCGCCAAACACTTCGCAGTGAGTCACGCTGCACGGCGCTCGGAATGCGGTGCCCAACTGGGCTGCACTCTCGTGCATAACTTTGGGCTTGAGCGCCCTGTTGTCTGCCTGCGCATCGGAATCGCAAACGAATGCGGGGCTCAAGTGTTCGCTCCTGAGTTACAGTCTCTGCTTCGGGCGCTCCGTCCTCCCCCGGCCGTCCCTGAGACATCCATAATCCCCCGCAATCCTGGAGTGGACGCGCTGCCGGGCCTGGAAGCTGGGGCTGGAGCTGGAAGGTTGCCTTGACAGGCAGGTGGCGCGTCGCTGCATCGCTCGGGAGTCCGTCGAGGCCCCGCTTCCCACGACGAGATATTGGCGGGAAAGCGAGGCACGGAGCCCCCAGCCCCCCGCGGGGCCCCTCCCCACCTGGCCCAGGATGGCTCAGGACCCAAGTGTGTGCTTTCCCAAAGAACAGAAAAAGGTCACGATGATGTCAAATGATTAGTGACAAGATGACATCATTGCCGACGGTCAAAGTTGGCGATTTGACGTCAGTGCATGTCAAGATCCTTGATGCCGTAATCTATGATCGAATATTGCGGAAATCGAGTCAATTCTAGTCATGAGGGGTCCCTGATGCAGCGTGACTTTATCAATGGCTCATGACGTCAATATGCTTTTTCTGTTCTGTGTCGCAGCCTCCACTCCCCTTTTACTACGGCCACGCTGCTTCGCTACTACGGGCCGACTGCGGGCCCCTCCCCTTGATCGCGCCAGTCCGTCGCACCGTCGCCATGACGACACAAACTGCAGTGCAGTGCCCTGCAGTGCCCTGCACAGGTACGGCGCGGACAATGGGTGATTATTACTTTGGCAAGCGGAGCGGGGGAGGGGAGGGGTGGGGCGCATTGTGCACCCCTGTGCACCTTGGGCACATCTTTTGTGCACCTCGCAGCGGCCACGCTGCGCCACGCTGTGCCCATGTGGGACAATATAGTGTCGTAGTAAGGAGTCGTAGTAGACCTAGGCCCGCGTGGTTGTGGCCGGGGCGAGGCGGGGGCGGCGGGGGTGGGTGGCCCAGGAATTGGAGGGAAAGCTGCGCCGACCCGGCCGGCCCCGCAGCGCAGCCCGCGCAGCGCGGGAGAAGAAGAAGAAGAAGAGGGAGAAGGCACTGACTGCAGCAGCCAGCAACAACAACGCGTGGCCCTCACGTGGGCGTCGTGCACGTGGTCGCGGAGCACGCGGAGCACGCCGCCAGCGTGCAGCGCCACAAACAAACAAGTCACACGCACGCACGCGATGTCGCGATGTCATGTAAGTCACGTCACCGTCATGCACGGCGTCGAGGGGGCATTACAGTGCGGGGGCGTTCCCCGTCTTGTTCCGTGTGCCACGTGGTCATAAATGTATTCGGAGGGCTTGTCACTCCCCCCCACGTGGTCGTTGCGTGAGTGAGTGTCACTTGTTTTCGTCATTTGTTTAGCGTAAACACGCGTACTCACCAGTAAAAGCGTAAAATATCCAGTTGTAAGTGACCTGCTTTTCACTCCCCCCCACGTTCGTTGCGAGTCGATGTCCCTGTTTCGCGGTTTGTAAACGCGAGCGCGTACTCACCAGCTCCAAAAACGCTCCAAAATATCCAGTTTTCAGCGACCTTCGTCACCCCCAAAAGCAGTCGTCCCCGATCGCGCCGCTCAAAGCAGTGCGGGGATGACAGCACAAAGCTTTGCCCCACGCCCCTAAGAGTGCGGACGCAAGGCGCAGGCGGCGACTGCAGCGGTTTCTGCGCGTCACTCGGCGCGTCACTTTGTCCCTTTGTCTCCGCGTCGCTAAACGGACACCCATCGGACACCCGTGCCGAATCGGGCCCTTCCAGGACGCCGTCGAGGACAACACTTCCAGGAGTTGGCGGCCAAGGTGTGAGGACGGCGCGGACGCTTCGCGCATCGCGTCATCAAGATGGCGCAGCGCGGCCAGGCGCTGGAGCGTCACGTCACGCCACGCCACGCCACGCCACGCCTCGTCACGGGGCCGAAGTGGCGGCCACACCCACGCCACGCCACGCCGGGCAGTAGTGCTCAGGTAGCGCTCCGGCCCCCTGCCCCCGTTCCCTCCACTTTTATTTTTTCGTGAGTCAGAAAAGTCGAAAAAGCAGCGCGAAGGCCCGAGCCCCGAGAGGGGGCCGGGGGCTCCGCACACACACGCTCACACACACACACACACACACACACACACACACACACACACACACACTCACGGCGTGTATACTCAGGGCGGGAGACAGCCGGACACTCGGGGCAGCTGCACCTGCCTGCGCCTTACTGCGGTAACAGGACCAGACACGCTCGGCAACCTCGTCCCCTCCTGCCCCCCTCCGCCCCCTCCTGCCCCCGCCCCTGAAAGGATCGCCGAGACCCGAAACTCAGCTTCTCCTCTCCCACGGTCCTGGTGCACGTGTTGGGCTGCCCCCTCCCCCTCCCCGCAGCACACACGACCCTCCCCTCGCCCCTCGGGCCCTTCGGGCGCCGTGCCATGTAAGGTGCGCAGACCCCCTCCCCCTCCCCAAATGATAGAGCCCTGTAAGTACGAAAATGATAATGACTGCGGCCAAATTGCATGCCACACGACTTTTTACGCACTGATACTTTTCGGCCTTGTCCTAGTCCCTTCAGCACAGGGTTCAAATAGAATCCGCTCAGGGTTCTTCATCAGACCGAAATGCTCACTTGCCTGCCGAACAGGTAGTGCCACAGCCAAAGTTATAATTACAATGAAAATTACACTTGTAAAAAAGGAGACCGTTGCACTCGGCGTGCAAATCAGAGCCCTTTTTCTGGCGTCCTAGTTTTTTCCCCGCGCCCTGTTGCACACGTGTGTCGCGCTCCCCTCACGGCCCGTCACGGCCCGCGGTGGGGTTCGTGGGGTTGGAGGTCGGGGTTGGGGCAGCCCAGGGCGGGAAGAGGGGCCGCCCCCCGCCGAGGGCACTGTGCCGCACTGCACCGCTATCCCAATACTAAGCAGGGGTATTAATTTGCAGGTGAGCCTCTGCCCAACCCTTCGGTCACGCTCCACTGGAAAAACTTCAAAAAAAATTTGAAAATATGTTTTCCCATTCTGACATTTTGCTGTTCGCGGACTGCGCTGCTCGCGAGTGCTGGCTCGCGGGCTGGTCTAGCGGCTGCGCCCGCGAGCCGCGCGTAGGCACCACGACACACAGCGGCGCCCGGGCGAAGCCTACCCTTCCGCTAGAACGGAGACGCGGAGACGCGGAGCCCGCCGCGGCCTGCGTCAAGCTGCGTCAAGCCTCCTCCTCGCGATGACGAAACGGAACATCGTTACGGCGCGAAAAAAGCGCCTCGGTCATGTCATGGGCCTTATTAATACAAAGTGAAGGCCATGATGGCTCGGTAATGATTCAGAAAGTGGCTCAATTCAACGCGGCATGCAGTCATCGGCTGCAGGCTGCGTGTTTTTGCCCCGCCGCGAGGCTGAGGCGCCGCAGTGCCGCAGCAGTGGCGCCGCTCTTCCAGGATCCCGGAGGCGCCGGCTGCAGGCGCTGCAGGTCGCCGCCGTCCGGCGCCACGGGGAACAACAAGTGCTCGCCGTTTTTGTCCCGGAGTCAGGGTACACAAGCCTCTTAGCGGGCGCGTCGCCCCGTCGCCCCGTCGCCCCGTCGCCCCGTCGCCCCGTCGGCGGGGTGGTGGCCGCGCTGGCCGCGCAGGCAGGGTGCCCGATCTGGAGGCAGCAGTCCGGAGCCGGGCCTGGCCGCCGTCGCCGCCGTCGCCGCCGTCCCCGGGTCCAGGGCCTTCCAGGGTCATTACGGAGGAAACAATTGCCGGCGATAGCGCGCGAGATTGTCTGAGTGAGAAATGTGATCCTCCAGGCGGAGGCTTCGGTGTGGCGCTGGCTGGCGCCGCGCGCCCACGGCGAAGGAGCACTACTTCTTGCAATTCATTATGGCATGGCGCCCAGCCTGGTCGGACCTGGCCGGCTGGACCACTCATTAGTAGAACAAACAAGCTGCACGCACGGCGCGCACCGACGGCGCCAAGGTGTTGTTATCGGACGGTCTGGTGCACTCGGCCGCGCACGAGGGCCACGGGGACCGACGGGGACCGACGGGGACCCGACGGGCACTCGGGGGAGTGGCGGCCGAGGCCATCAGCAGCTCCTTGTCGTCGTGATGGTGTTTTGTTTTCCGGGTGGCGCCTTGCCGCCGAGCCGAGCCCCGCCAGGCCGTCCGCAGAAAGCAAGCAGTTC